ATTAGATTGTAAATATAAAAATAATTTTTTCATATTATCGTCAATATAAATCATCTATTAAATATTACCTTTTGTCGTTTCACTTAAATTAATCATTAGGCTGTAAGTATCAAGTTATTTATAAAACATTCACTACATTTTTATTTTCAATTGAATTATATTAAACCTTACTTCTGTTTATTCACCTATGCGTTACTATTAGCAAGCAAGTATAGACCTATTCAGAAAATAATTTACCATTTTATCAACAATAATACATCTATTAATATTGCTTCCTATTCGCTTTACCAGCTTGTAAGTATAGAATTTATTTACAAAATTATACTATATTCATTTTTATTGCTAAAAGAACGTTATTCATAAATATTATTTCTTTATTTCTTTTATGTTAAACAGCTTGTAAGTGGAACTTATTAATAAAAATGCTATCATATTTATCATCAATAGAGTTATCTTTTAAATATTAATTTCCTCTTTTATTTACTCGTTAAACAACTAGTATGTAAGTATAAATTTTTAAGATAAAAAATAACTAGTATTTATTTTTCATTTGTGCGGATCCAATCAAATTAAATATCAAGTAATTTGTTTGAATCCGCATAGGTGAAAATAAACATATTTTATTGCAATAGAATTATATATTAAATATCTCTCTGTTCTCTCTCTTGCATATTAATCTATTAGACGGTATTTATAAATAATAGACCTAATTTAGCGTTCAAAGAATTGTCCATTAAAAGTTACTCTGTTTTTTAAACTATCAAACTACCAGCACGTAAGTATAGAGTTGTTTATAACATTATAATCACGTATTTATCGGTAGATATTATCCATTAAATATATGTATTTTTTTATTCACATGTTTAACTACCAGTGAGCAAGTATAAAGCTTATTTATGTGCATATTTTTATCAATAGAAATTTTATTAATAATACTTTCTATTTTTGTGCATTAAACTACTAGAAAGTATAGAATTAATTGATAAAATATTTACCGTTTTATCATCAGTAGAATATCTATTAAATTTTACTTCTTTGTTTATCTATTTACATGCTAAACCAGCTTGTAAGTATAAAATTTGATTATAAAATAATATACTTGTCTATTTCAATAAAATTATATGTTAACTATTTTTTTTTTATGTTGTATTAAATTACTAGCAAGTAAATAGAGTTTTATTCATTATTTTTGTCGTTAATAGAAATTGTCTATTAATTACTGTATTTCTTTCAATTGCATGCTAAAATATTAGAGTGTAAGTATAGAATCTATTGTAAAATAATTACAGTCTACCCTCATTTATATCAACCCATTTGTATTTGTCTAAATTCATGTTGATAGTGATATTAGCAAGGGGTTATATTAATGTTAATATATATGAGGGAATTTTAATATATAAAAATTTGTAAAAATTCATCTTATGGCTTAAGTTAATATTAACGAGGGTAGACTGTACTACGTTTTACCATTAATATAGAATTAACAATTTAATATTGCTTCTCTGTTTTTATATGTTAAAATACTAGAATGTAAGCTTAGAGTTTAATTACACTCATTTTCATTGATAGAAATTATTCACTTAACTATTATTTTGCTTACGGTTTGAAATACTAGGACGTAAGCATAAGGTTTACTCATAAAATAGTCTGCTTATTTAATTGTTAAGTAATTATCTCTATTTATTAATATATATGCTAAACTGCCAGAGTGTAAGTAAAAAGATATAAAATATACATATTTGTTGTCAATAATGATTACGTATCGATTAAATATTAATTTATTTGTTCTATTACTAGATTGTAAGTATTGATAAAATTTATTTATAAAATAAAAAGTAATTAATATGTTATCATTAATCGAAAATGTCCATTAAATATCACTTTTATTTCATTTATTTACATGGTAAACTACCAGTGCGTAAGTATAAGATTTATTGAGGACTAATTAGAATTTATTATGATTATAGAATTATCATTAAATATTATTTCTTTGCTACCAGATTGTAAGTATAAATGGTTCAATATATTTAATGGAAATTATTAATTAAATATTGCTTTTTTTGTATTTCAATCATACGTTAAACTATTAGATTGTAAGTACGAGTTGCGTAATTATAAATAGTTTATTTTATTTTATAGCCAATTGATTAAATATATTTCTATTTCTTTTTTTTTTTTTTTTTTTTACCAGTGCGTAAGTATAGATTTATTTACATAGTGTTCACCACATTTTTTCCAATAGAATTTATTCATAAACATTGATTTAATAATACTTCATTGCTTTTTGTTAACATGCTAAATTACCAGATGGTAAGTCTAAAGCTTATATATATTATTCGTTAATGGATTATCCATTAAATATTATTTCTCCATTCTTTGTTCTATCAATTGTTAAACTACCAGCATGTAAGTAGCGTTTTTTCATAAAATATTCCTGATTTTATCATTGCAGAATTTATAAATTAAAGATTAATTATCATATGTTAACTACCAGCGCGTATGTATAGAGTTTATAACATTTGTCACCAATAGAATTATATATTAAATATTGTTTTTCGTTGCCAGATTGTAAGTAGAGGGTTTATTTATAAGATAATCTCTTTATTTTATTATCAATAGAATTTTCTATTAAATATTACTTTGTTTTTTCATTTACATGATAAACTACCAGACTGTAAGCTCAAAGTTATTTATAAAAATTATGCATGTTATCTTTAATAAATTAACTATTAAATAATTCTTTGCTCTTTTATTTACATGTCAAATATCAGTATGTAAGTATAGTGTTTATTCATAAAATAGTCAACTTTTTCATTATAAATATGAACTCCTAGTAAATATTTTCTGCTATTTTACTTGTGTAATAAACTACAGATTGTAAGTATCAGTTTTGTTCATATATTGTTAATTGAAATCACTTCTAACTTATATGTCAAATTATCAGATCGTAAGTATGCAGCTTTGTCTTGAAATAATCACTACATTTTATTGACAATATGTGATTACTGTTAAATATAATTTTTTTTTTTCTTACATATTAAACTGTAGAATGTAAGCATATTATTCATAAAATATTGCTGCACACATTTTTATCTTCACTAAAATTATCCTTAAATGTTACTTCTCTGTTCATTTACTTGCATGTATTAGCACGTAAGTACAGAGCTTATTTGCTAATTTATTGACAATAGAATTATCTGTTAAATTATATATATATATGATTTTTTCTTGCAAATTGCCAGTGCGTAAGTATAGAAATTATTACAAATGATCCATGGTCTATTATTAATAGAAATTATTAAATTAATTCTGTTTTTTACTTATACACTAAACTACAAGTTCGTAAGTATTGCGTTTGTTATTTAGTAACCACATATTTTATTATCATTAAAACTATCTATTAAATGCCTTATTACTTCATTACATTTTAAACCACTAGAATGTAAGTAAAGTTTAATCATAATAATCATTTATTGTCTGTATGCGATTATTAATTAAATATTACTCTCTTTTGTTTACTTATATGTAAACTAACAGTTTGTAAGTATAGAATTTATTTATAAAATAATCTGGACATTTAATTATTAATAGAAGCTATTTAACTTTTAAATTTTTTTTTTATTTAATGTTAATTTATTAGCTTGTAAGTTAGAGTATATTTATAAAATAATCGATTCATTTTTATTGTTAATAGAAATTATCTAGAATATATTAAATTTCTCCTTTTTTTTCACTTAGAATGAGAAATCTGCATAGTTGAATTAAAAGTTAAAGAAGGTTTACATGTTAAATTAGAAAGTATGGAATTTATTCATAAAATAATCTACTTATTTATTTTCGATAGAATTATATATTAAATGTTCTCATATTTTAAATTTTCAGAAAGTAAGTATAAAGTTTATTTGTAAATAATTATAGATTATCACAAATATTTTGTTTATTCACACATATATGGAAAACTTATAGGAGGTAAGTACTGTATAAATTCGTTTATTAATAAAATACTTATTTTATTGTTATTAGAATTTTTATTAAATATATTTTTTTTCTAGTTCAATTATGTAGTGAACCACCGAAATATGAGTTTATAGATTAATTTTTATAATTGATTTATTGTAAATTTTTATGCATACAGTAACTTAGCGTCATTTTAAAGAATCTATTTTAGATTAAGATAATATGAGGAAGTTTTAAATGCAAAATTTTAATTTTTTATTATAAATAATTTAATTATTGTACACTCATATTATTTATGCAACTACTTGAAAAGCTATAATAAGTAACTAGTAATTTAGGATATGAACATAGTATTGAAAAATTTTATTGGCTTGATAACATGAAAATTGTGATATATTTTTTTCTCAAATCAAATCAATATCAATATTAAAAATTATGTGACAAGTTTATAATAAAAATGATTTTTATTTGTCCCAAGGTGTTATAAAAAAATACATTAAAACATAATCCATTATAGTTTTAGAATACATTGCAAATAAATAAGTAATAAATAAACAATCTAATAACACTATAAAAGATAATAAAGTGAAGACTTTTAAGTTGAATGAAGTGCTCACAAACTATTTGAATTTGTTATTATATACCAAAAAAGGCCTTTGTTAAGTACTACATTAGGGAGGCGTCATTTATCATCTGATTTCTTATAAATGTTAGACATCCTCTCTCCGCATGGTATGTATACTATCACACATTATATATGACATGATATTAGCACCTTCCTCAAAATCAGATGATAAACGACATTTCTCTTAAGTTTAAACAGTTATACTCACATGACGATAACTCAACATGTGAGTATTGATTAAAAAGTCGAAGCGGTTTTAATACGTAATTGGATTAAGCTTTATACTCACGGTATAGTAATTCATAAGTAATTATTACTTCTTATACTTATTGTTAAATCGTATGCATTATAGTGAACGTTAATACAGGCCATATAATTGACATACTTCAAGGACTTAAAATTTATGCTCACCAGAAATTTAGTTTCCATTCGTAGATAAATTTTCAGACAATGATGAATCGTGTTTTTGACAAATATCAACTTTATTTGTAATGCATTCAATATTTTCAGCAGATAGCTTTTCAAGTTGGTCAAAAATTATATTCAAAGTTGGTCGTTCATTGGGATCAAGTGACCAGCATTTAACAAATAGATTAACATAGACAGAAGGTGTACCGTCAACAATTTCTTGCCTTTTGTCTTTCAAAATTTCTTGTAGTATAGTATAAAAGCTTAAGCCGTAAAATGGTGGAACACCACTTGTGAGTTCCCAGAACAATACTCCTAGACTATAAATGTCAGACTTCTGATTACGTTCAGACTTATTTCCATGTAAAAGAAATTGTGGATCAGTATAAGCAGCAGCACATTGCAGGTTTATTGAATTGGAAGAATCATCCATTTTTTTTGATAAACCAAAGTCTGCAATTAAGGCTTTACCATTATTTATAAGAATATTCTTAGAATGCTATGAAATATTTATAAATAATTGAGAAATTATTTTAATTCAATTTAATACGTTTGATATAAATTGAAAATTTTATAACTCACTAGATCTCGATGAAGAATCCCTTTTTCATGTAAATATATCAACCCATTGGTAATTTCTTTTGCAATCTGAATAAGTTCTACCCATGAAATTTGATAAAGACCTTCTCTTTGTTTGCTTCGTAAATAATCACGTAGTGTACCGTTATTTGCAAATTGTAATACTAACATAATATTCTTCGTCTGTGGATCTAAAAGTTTATTTATAGTATTGTTATCAAGAATCATTAAATTTAGAACAATATATGATTAAACCATTCAAAAATTAAATTCTATAACGATGATAATACTTCTTGAAATTCCAAAAAGGTTGACAATATTAGGATGGTTAGACTCATAAAGATTTGTAAGCTAGATAAGATTATAAAAGTATTTAGTTGGAGAATTAAAAGTTAAAACCCATATGACAATGATATTACCTCACGAGTAAGTTGTCTGATTTCTTCTTTATCCATATGAATGTTATTATGCAAACTTTTTAAAGCATAATTATTTTGTTCGAAAGTAGCCAAATAAACTATTGCGAATCTTCCTTTTTCAATTTGTTTAAGGATTCTAAATTGTGAGTAATCAAATATTTTTACATCTTTTTCTTCTAAATAGGATTCTAATAATTTTGAATACTTTAATACTATGTTGAAAATTTCTAATATTAATATGTTGCATAAATTAAGAATTCAGAATATTATTGTTTGACAGCTCACATGTTTCTTCGCCCGAATTAAAATTAAGCGAATTTCCACCAACAAATTCGTTCATCACTTTTTAATCAATATTATTCCCTTCAAGATATATTATGTGCAGTATAAAGTGAAAAGAAATTTGAATTTATCGTGTGTAGTTACGGAGTTTCACCTGAGACTCTTTTAGCATATATTACAGTTGTACTACGTATATCAAGGACGGAACGGTATGAAACAAAATGGAAATTACCAGAAACGATGTGAAATGTGTATGTTGCGACCTGAGAAGCGACTGCGCACCAAGATTGTTTTAGTTCATAAAAAAAAAAGATTGGATTTCAAAATATTCCTTTACGCAATTAGAGTTAGATTACCAATATAAATCATTATTACGGGACAGGAGTTTTTAAAAATAAGAAACATATTGAACAGTAGCAGACAGCCAATTTTCATACTACTACAAATGTTAACAAGTCAATGGATACTAGCCAATTCATTGAATATAAAGGTTGCTCCACTCTAATAAAGATCATGTAAACTAACGTAACAAAGAATGTGTTACGAATTTAATAAAAAACGTAAAAAGTTTTGAATGGAGGTCAATCGGGTTACGACATTTGGCATGCCAGAAAATTCGAGCTTGATAAGACTAATACGGAACGATTAACTTTGAATCTACGTATTAGACAAAGGATTTAAGATAAATTATAGCAAAAAAATGGTTAGCTAAAAGAGTTCTTCTATATTAACTCGAAGGAAGCTCATGTAACACATTCTTAATTTCATTTTTAAAGCCCTTTATTATAACCCAAAGTTAGATATGTCCGATAGTTTTAAAATCTGATCTATGGTTTTGCAATATGTATAAGATAAATAATTCAAAAAAAAACTTTGTAGCTATGGTAATAATAAATATCACAAGTAAAGTGCTGTAGACAAACCCGTATATTATTGGATAACATGTTTCCTAGCATCGTCTCTAGACTTGTACATCCATATTTGAGAATTGCGTAAGATTAGAAAACTGCAAAATAGAGAAATTTTTACAATACTGTTAAATAAAGAATGACAAAACCTTTTATTAAGCAATTTCATGTTGACGAATTGACAAATAACGAAATTTTATGACAACCAATGAAGTTAAACTAGGAAACAGGAACTGTTGAGATCCGGAGCCTTAATATTTGGATTTAACTTTCCTTAAAATATTTCTAAAATTGGTAACCACTTATTCTTTTATTAATATCCATTAAGGTTGTTGTTTAACAATTTTTTCATAAAAAAAAATTACTTAACAGATTTATATATTTTATTTAATGAAATGTTATTTTTAAAAACTATTTAACATTTAATCAATAGACTTTTTTTTTACAGTCGATTCTATATAACTTCTCTATAACGTACTTCGGATTTTAAATTATATGAGCTTTAATAAAACAGTTTCTTTCCAAACCGTCAGTTTGTCAGAAATAGTTGGCTAATTTTTTTTTATGTTTATAAATATTACATAAAACTAAGAAAAATTTTCCCTAAAAAAATAAAAATAATGGATTTATTAAAAATAAACCTTTGATTTTTTTTTTTTTTTTTTTTTTTTGTGAACTTATAAGATAATACAAGGTTGAAATTTTTTTACGTGAATATAATGGCAATATGAAGATTTAGTGAACTTTATAAAGGTTAAATATAATATAATATTAATTATGTTGACTATGTTTTTTCTTTAACTTTGACCAAAGTAATTCCTCTATCGGTGAATGATTTGAGTGAATTAATAAAATTTTTTGATTGACGTAGAAATATAATACTGTCAATGTATTTGTATCATTTCATGAAAAGAACTTTTATTAACTTTCATTATCATTATTGCATAATGTTCTGACGTACTTTCGGGACAGACTAATATCATGTTACAGGGCACCATAAATTTGCATAGTAAAGTTTTCATTCTGATCTGAACGTTAATACAGGGGGGAACCGTTATAGGTCTGGGCAGTAAAGTCCTCCGGACAATAAATCAGTCCAATAAGAAAAAGTGCATTTATAGAGGTTAAGCATATATTTGGGCCGGAACTTGAGCGTGCATTTAGATAGGGTGTGCACTTATAGAGGTTCACTTAGAGAAGTCTGACTGTACTCAAAATTTCTACCGTTAAAACTATCATTAAGTGAAGTAATGCTATTTTTATAATTGGATTCAATATGTGTTTGCATATCTTCATCTTTTATATTTTGTAGCTTTTTATCAGATTCAGATAATTCTAATAAAATATTTTCATTATTATGCCATTTTGTGAAAACCTCAACAATTTCTTTTGCTGTAGGTCGTTTTTCTGGTTCTATGCTCCAACATTTCTTCATTAAATCTGCATAGCTTCTTGCTGTATTTTCGTAAATATGTGGACGTTCTTGTAAACAAAGTTGCAGTTCGGATTTTTTCGGCACAATTTTGCTGTATAAAATTTCCCACATGATTATGACAAAAGAGTAAATATCAGATGCTTTGGTATATGGTTGTTTTTTCAAAAAAACTTCAGGGGCAATGTATGATAGAATTCCATAAACTCCTTCAGATTCTGATCTTAATACAATATTAGCAGTTATCGAAAGTCCTAAATCTGCAATGTATGCACTTTTTAAACTATTTAGTAGTATATTTCCACTATGTAAATCCCGATGAATAAAATCTTGAGAATGAATTATTTAAAGATCTGATGCAATACATTGTAGCAGATTTAATTTATCTTTCCAATCCATCTGTGCTATAATATGCAGATTTTTGCGCAAGCTACCTTTTAAAGCATATTCCATGACAAGAATATAATTTTTAGAATCATTATCTTTTGATATGCCGAAACATTTTAAAAAAGTTGAATCTTTAAGACCGATATCACAATATGCTTTTAACTTATTATTAAAGGAAATACAATATATATTCAAATTGTTAATTTTAATAATAAAACATGAATAATATAACTAATAAAAATTTAAAAAGTTACCTCTTTTATAAAGTCTTCATTATTTACTTCATTATTTGAATTATGAAATTTTTTAAGCGCAATAGTATTGTTTAAATTTTGGCTTTTATCAACCCAGTTAGCACGGTATACGGTTGCAAATCCACCTTCACCTATCTTTTCAATATCATCAAATTCATCGTAAGAAATCCACGATAATCGATATTTATTTTCTATCAATATTTTCTTCAGATCTTCATCAATTTCAGGATTATGTATCCAATCATTTGTAGCTATGTATAAATTTATAAGTTTTGTCAAATTATAATAATAATATTGTATATAATCTTATAGTTTATAATAAATTAATTATGATCATAATACCTGATTTCAATTCCTTTTCCCTAATTGGCGATTTAGATATATGAAGTTATGAAATAAATATATAAAATGAATGAGTACTGTAAATTGCTTGTTGCTCTGGAGACGTGCAACCCAGGTCTACCAAATTACGTAATACCAAGATCAAGTGTAATGATCGTTTTTTCTTAAAAATCGTACTCGAAATTTAATTTATGAAATCACCTTTTAAAAATCGATCTGCTCTAATATTATTGTAACTTTTGACACTAAACTAATATTTTTTTTTGTTTCAATTACACATGATCTTATGATTTGTTTTTACATCATAATACTCCTGTTCAAATTTAAACTTATTAAAATTTACCTTTGATACCAGTATTTGGCTTTTATCTGATCTCTTGTTATTCCAATTCCATTTCGATAACAATAACCAACTTGTGACATTCCACCAATATCTCCCATATCAGCAGATATTTGATAATAAACGAATGCTTTATGATCATCCTTTTTTTCAACTCCAATTCCATGTCGATAACAATTTCCAACATTATATGCTCCACCAGCGTTTCCCATCTCTGCGGATTTTTGATAATAATTGAAAGCTTTACGTTCATCCTTTTTAGCTCCAATTCCATGAAGATAACAATTTCCAACATTAATTATTCCGCTAACATTCCCAATATCAGCGGATTTTTTATAATGAATGAATGCTTTATTTTTATCTTTTTCAACTCCAATTCCTCTATCATAACAAAATCCAATGTCATTTGTTCCGTCTGCATGCCCCATCTCTGCGGATTTTTGATAATAATTAAATGCCTCATATTCGTTCTTTTCAACTCCAGTTCCACGAAGATAACACCGGCCAACATAATATGTTCCAGTAGCATATCCCATCTCTGCGGATTCTTGATAACAATTAAATGCCTTATATTCGTTCTTTTCAACTCCAATTCCATAAAAATAACAATTTCCAAGATTATTTGTTCCATTAGCATCTCCCATTTCTGCTGATTTTTGATAATGAATGAATGCTTCATGTTCATCCTTTTCAACTCCAATTCCTTTTTCATAACAATATCCAACACTATTTTTTCCACTAGCGAGACCCATTTCTGCAGATTTTTTATAATAAATGAAGGCTTTATGTTCATCTTTTTCAACTCCAATTCCTTTTTCATAACAATATCCAACACCATTTGTTCCACTAGCGACACCCATCCCTGCAGATTTTTGATAATAAATGAAGGCATTATTATGTTCATCTTTTTCAACTCCAATTCCTTTAAGATAACAATTTCCAACATTAATTGTTCCATTTGCGTTCCCCATATCTGCAGATTTTTGATAATAAACGAAAGCTTTATGTTCATCTTTTTCAATACCATTTCCATAACGATAACACCAGCCAACATTAAATGTTCCAGCAGCATGCCC